GGAACCCGAGTTATGAATTTCCGGTCAAACACACACACACACACACACACACACGCACAGACAGACAAACCAACAGACACACTTAGCGCGTTATATATAGTAGGATAACTTTGAGATCAGCGATAATGGTAAACTTGCGTTCTTATCAACTGTTTGGCGAAGCAAGCTACGGTAACTCACCCGATTATGACTTTGGAAACTTACTACCTAAAAGAGAAAAGTTCAAGTTTCTCAAGTTCGGTAGTAGCGCATTATTGTCTCGGATGACCTCACTTGAGCGCTCGAGACATCTTTTTAGACTCATTCCTTCTGTACCAGTACTAAGTTGACTCGATACCAAAGCAATCAATTGATGGCTACTCAATGTAACATATACTTCGACTATCCCTACGAAAGTTGCTCATGATATTTTTCTATATAAACCCTTCCAGGTAGCAAAGAGCATGGAAAGAAAAATGGTCAGCACAGCCTTCATCAAATTTATACCCAATTATTTAAGCACTGCAAAAAACTTGATCAGTGTCTGTCAGTTTTTAACGACTAACAATAGAAAAATGGTCATCACACTAACACACCGATTTCTGTTACAAACTTGAACATCCTAAAACCCGTATAAGTCATGAAAAAAAAACAAGAATAAGAAAGAAAAACACATAGAGATACACAAAATGAGGGAGACTGCGAAGTTCTTGGGAACCCCTGCGTCCATCACTTTCCCAAACCGCCTTCATATCGGCAAAACCAGATCCGTACGCATTTCACGATAATTACAAAGAAATGGCATCGAAAAGATCCAAAAAAGGAAGCTCAGTGAAGGGCAAAGGGATTGGATTTGTCAGAAAGTCCTACTACACTTTCGTTCCGATAGTTCAAACTTTTCAAATTTCAAATCCCATTTGTTTCAGACCGTAGACCAGGTTCTATAAGACATGCAATACCATAACCGGGATCGACTCGGAACAGAGAAACCAACTCCTCTAACACAGAGACCTTCGATATCTAAGGGGGAGATCGACACTTCCCAGATGATGGTTGAAGATTATCTGTAGAAAAAACTAGGTAGTTGTAGAAAAGAAATCGCGGTTCGAACATTATGTGGGAGGACTTCCTGACTGAACCAAAAGTTTCGGAACGTGCTTCAGGTATGTAGGCATCCCCCCGACTCTTCCCGAACAACTACTAGTTTCAACCGATATGAAGTACCAGATTCTACACATTAGAAGACGCACCTAGCACCACCCATCGGCACTGCCTACACCTTATCCCCGTTGGGCAGACTGAGGCAAACTTGGTCAAATACCGATAGCAAGCATTCGTCTGCTCTAATCCCAACCATTCCTTAACCGAAATAACCGCAAAGACAGAATATAACAAAAATGTGGGTAACAGCAATAGTGCTACTATGAACTATTAACAAAACATTTAACCTTCCAGAAAATTTACAAATACCTAAACAGCTTCCTTTATGAATTGGGACACATCAAACTGCTGTTCGTACTGACTCTCATCCCATAATTCAGCCAAATTCCATCGCTCTTCCCCGTTCACAGTTGATGTGTCTGACGGAGCTGCAGTTTTCCTCCGTTTTTTGGCTTCAGGACCACCATTTTCCTTAGATGGCTGATCTCCATCTAGAACGAACATGTTCATCAGTTCATCGGTGGCCATCGTTTGGAGTGAGCGATTATCAGCACCAATCAGCGCCTGAAGATTCACATTATCATAATCTGCTGAAAGACATCTGAAGCACAAAACCCACGTCTGCTGTATCCTGCTTGAACTTATGTAAGCTCATCACTTTGGCCTCAATGGTTCCCTGCGTAATAAGGCGGTAAACATTGACTTTGCGGGTTTGACCAATCCTGTGGGCTCTAAAAAAAGAAAACTTCACGACGACTAGAAAACTTTCACATAATCTGCTTTTAAATGAAATAACCTGTCGATAGCTTGCAGGTCCTTCATAGGGTTCCAGTCATGGTCCAAAAAGATTACTACATCGGCTCCAGTTAGATTTAATCCAACGCCACCAATCTGCAAAAGACTACAGTGTCTTCTTTGCATATGATCTGCAAAATAATCCTCATGTTCGTCCCATGAGGATGATGGGCGATGCATCGATCTCGACAGTGATATCATTGTCTGCTCGCGGTGTCAAATATCATGTTCAGCCATTTGCACTTTCGCTGCCATGACCGGAACGCTGCCCTTCACGCCATGCCCGCTAACCCCTTATCACACACATACTTAAAGGCTACCTTTACTGACGCTTGTGGGAGGGTGAAATCTCGAATTTACAGCAAAGATTGACCAAACATTGGTGGGAAGACTCACGACACATTATTTTAGAAGTCAAGAAAGCGCTGCAGAAAATCTGAGCCTTGTATCACCTAGTAACAACAGCACAGCAGCTCCGTCTGAAGCAAAAAAGGGAAGGAACTTAAGTGCACTTAATCAAAGTGGTGATTGGCTCTGAATCAATCGAAAGCTCTTTGTGATCAAACGCCACTAAATACCCAAAAAACCAGAAAACCATTCAAAGATGTAGAAATTAAAACTCACATGAGTAGTCAACACGAGAACGTCAATTAGATGATCCGTGTTGAATCGATCAACTATTGATTGACGATCCGACGGAGGAACCGAGCCATCAAGAACCAAATGAGATATTGGAGCACCGAAGTCGCCTCTGGAACGAATAGTAATAATACAAGACCTTCGTTTAACTTACTCTAGATGCATTATCACCCAAAAATAAATATTCTGTACATTCCCAAGCGGAGCTCTAACATAAATCCTAATGCAGGACATTGTCTGAGCAAAATTAGAACAGACCGAGTACTTGAAGAATCGGAAACTAATTCTGTTATATTCCATGACCAGTTTTTTGGTATTTTGGCACCTGTGAACGTGAATCAAGTGCCAAAGTTATATTCCAACCTTGTTAAAGCATTTGATACCAACTGTACAGAAGACTTCCACTGACAGAATATCAGAGCTCTATGAGGCAACTCCACAGGTATAGACGAAAGTGGATCTGTAAAAGTGAATATCATACGGACAAGAAGACAATCGCAGCAAATTCAAAATGCCAACTTTCGTCCTCGGGATCTTTTTCCTCGATAGTAACTCCAATACCGCATTCACTCAACAGTTGACCTAGAGCCGCGATTTTGCCCGATGATGCATTGGGAACCTGCAAAGAGATTTGTCATATTTTAGATAACACAGCACTTCCCAAAACAGCTCAGCTGTTTTCCCATGAAAGCTCGCAGAAACATGAGATTCACCAGTTTCATAATTTCCTCCGGGGCAGCTAATTTCATCAGGACATCTTGTATCAGCAAAGGATGGTCGACGAGTTGCCGAAGAGCCATTAGTGCATGAAGTGGGGAAATACCTCGTCGAGCAGCCAATTGAGTACGATTAGCAGTACACCTTAAACAGAAGCGCTACGTGTACAACATACAAAGTTTTTGAAAATCAGCATGTGGTCGATTAAAAATGGCGTTAAACCGATGGGAAAGAGCTGTGAAGACAGGAAGGTGATGCAAACTTTCCTAAAACTGCCTTATAGTTCAAGACAGTCATCTTTAGTAACCAGTAAATCCCTATATACCTGTCAACAATGAATTTATAAATTGTCCGTTGTTCCTCGCTCAACTGACACTCATAATCTTGGACATTCTTATCGGGCAACTCACGAAGAACCTGTTGAAGCGATATAGATGTCGTGACAAACTGACGAAAAGAAATACACAAAATGACGAATTACCTCAGATTTGAGCCGACGCATGATAAATGGTAGTATCAACCGGTGAAGCTGCGAAATAGCTTCTGATCCGTCCTACAACCATAAGCGCTACACTCTTACAAACGCTGTACCTTATTCGAACAATGCCAAAATGAGATTCATGGCGAAATGTTGGAAAAAACACCTGTATATCTCTTTCGTTGGCTCTGTGACTACGGCACTTGAGGATTTTACGAAGGAATCGGGAGCGAAAATGACGTTCATCCCCCAGATAGCCAGGCATCAACCATGTGAAGAGAGCCCATAAATCGGCAGGACTGAAATTTCAAAGTAACATTGAGGGATTAAAGAGAAAAAGTAGATATCCATAAATAGCGAGTGAGATGGGTGAAGAGAACGTAACCTATTCTGCACTGGAGTACCAGAAAGTATCAAACGACTGGTGGAATTCAACTCATTTGCTGCTCGCCAGATTGCAGTCTTGGGATTTCTTAAGACATGTCCTTCATCCAAGACAACATAATTCCATGCAATACGCCTCAAATGGTAAGGTGTTGAAATGCAGAAAAGAGAGCTTCCCTCTACAAAAGTATATACTAAAACACATACCCCAGAGAAGAATTCGCTTTGAGGTCCTCGTATGCAGCAACAACAATCTCGGCAGACTTCCATTTTACTGGCATCCCTTCAACGTGACGAGCTGGCGCTCTACCAGGGAAGAATCGGCGCCACTCATTGCACCAATGGTCCACAAGTGTCCGTGGGCAAATTATTAAGGAACAGCGACTTATCAGATTCGTATCTAAAAGTTGAACGCATGAGTTTCAACGCTATAAACATGAAATGCAAGTATGGGGAGGTGAAAGATAACTATTTCAAGTAAAAAGAACAAATAAAAGTGGACACGGCCATTGTACGTCCATTTAGTTAGGTTATCAAGGCACCAGCTGGGCTACTAGCCTTATTCCTTACGTGCGTTTGATATGATTGAATGCCACCAATTCTACTTATTGATATTTGAATAGGAGTCTTATAACCATGTTTCAGAAACACGCAGTTCAGTACCTGTTTTCCAAAGTATATATAGTCCATATATAATACGTATTCAAGGCCTACGACCTGAAAGGAGGGTTTGCGATATGACGCACTTAAGATGTTGGCGGCCTCATTATTCAAGGATCACCTGATAATGTCATAGGGCGCAAAGCTATTCCATAATTTTATGGATGATTGTTATGATGACTTTCATACTTACCGTTATCAAGTGATAGCGCCAAAGCACACAACGTTTGAAGTGTCTTTCCAAGGCCCATATCGTCTGCCAAAATGCCATGTAGCCCGAACTTCCGCAGGAATCTCATCCACGTGATTCCTTCCTTGAATATTCACTTGATCCAATGCAATAAGAATAACAATCAAGCTCTATGACTAATATGCGCTGAAAAGAGTCTAGAAAGTATTGTTCGAAGACCTATTCCATTTAGCAATGAGATTCCTACAGTAGTACCCAACAGATTGATCCGCCAGTGGGAATTTTCAATTTATAAATTAGCAATAAAATAAGAATAAATAAAAATTAAAATAAAGAATAAATACAAGGGACTGTGACACGAACTCACGGCCTGATAATGCCTCAACTGGATGGTTTTGCATAAACCATGAATTGTCTTCGTTTCAACTAACGCCAAACGTCCTGGTGCAGAAAGGACGTTAACAAAATCAGCACTCTCTACCCTCTTTAAGGAGAACTCGTCACTGAGATCTGGTACAGCAGTGCTGACGTCCTAAAATTTGAATTTACGTACGCAAAAGATAAAAAACATCATCCAGAACAACACTTGAAACTAACCTCTAAGGCCAACAAAGGCACCATGTTGCGAAACGCCTCACCAGCCGCATCACGTACTTCCTCCAATTTATCTGTCATCCGCACAAATGCTAAGGGTGCTAATAATGATACCACACCAGTCAAAGCCGCGTGCATGAACGATAACCTTCAGAAAGGGATAAGATGAATCTTCAACTTGGATTGTTTGAACAACCTGGTATGTTTACCTTAGGAGAGCCTCAATAGCTCCTCGCCTTTCATTTTCCACGGAGACGTTGTTTAGCATCTCCGATAACGGTGACAGTAAACGGGAAATTGTATCGCCGAGACGGGATCTTGCAAACGTTTCCACTGCTTTTGCACCGGCGAATCTGAGGAGAGCGCTTGATTAGCAGAAGATGACAGTTCAAATTTGACGACAGAAATGCAAATCAGCTTAATAGTGAGAATAAATCCGTTGCAGCACTATACCGCACCCGAAACAAAATACAGACAACAAGATTGCTGGGGATCTAGAAAAAGGCTAACTTTAAAACCAATCACCTGTAAGCTGGGTTAGAACTTTTGAGCAGTTCTATAATTCGAGATGTAGACACGTCCGATAAAGATGATCCCACTCTTGACCACATACAATCGTGCAAGGCCAAACGTGATAGTAATTCCTGAAATTCGTAAGGAAATTCAAAAGCCCATATCGACTTTTCAGTAAACCTTCATGACCGCAGTTAACAGCAAACACATTTGACAAGCGAATCAAGAACCTCCTGCTTCTCACAATTATCCAATGCAAAATGGTCATAAAATTCTGGCAACTGATCAACAGCGAAAGTCGTGCAAACCTAAAATTCATGAAAATGAGGGACTTTGGTAATCACGGAGAAAACTGAAAGGAACGTACTAAAAACATTAATTCGGCATTTGTGCTTTGAGGGGATAGTGCAAGTTTTTCAGAATCAGGCCGATGTATACTGAGAATCAAATGTTGCACTTCTTTCGAGGACCTGCAACTTGGGCACTAATATATTGAATATGAGGTAAACAATCTACAGAACCATACCATTCTTGCGGTTTAGGTATACGAGAAGAGCAGCTGGAAAACATATCCATGGCACGAGCCAGTACCTGTATTGGAAGCAGTCATACCTTGAATTTTGCATTGCGCTCCAAAAGCAGGTAAATTCTATAGACTGATAACGCGGTCTTTCTTCGCTTAAAAACTACAAACCCAGTGCAGTATCTACTCTGACTGATTAACTATACTGATGAATTACCCCTGCAGATAAAATGATAAAGGATAAAGTTTTTGGCGTTAACCGTCTGAGGGATGCGCCCCCGCACTCGACTTCCACTCAGAATCGTAGTAGAGTGACGAGTACGTATGTGTCCCATGCAATGACTTGCGGTGGCCAGCCGATGTCCAAGGCAGTGCTTTTATCCTCCCAGACGAGTCTGGTACCAGTTCACCGACTCCGGAGGGATGGAAGATTTGGTTGGCCTGGGCAGACATCGATCCGAGATTCGAACCCCTGACCGTCGTGAGAGATAGTGCGCCACTTGCCACTACACCACCCCGGCAGATAAGGAGGAGGAAATCTCGGAATCTTTAATATCCGACTCAAAATGTCTCGAATAATAACTCATTGATCTCAAAATTTTGGATAAATACATTCAATCTTAGGAAAGAAAAATATACCTTGACGTATGGTCTCGGTGATCTTGGCCAACTGTATGCGATCATTAATGTGACTGCACCACGAAAAATCTGAAGCAGTGTGATCAAAACGTTGAGGTAGTTTCAAAAACTCTTATGTAGACTTACTTCTGCAGATACAGTGGAATTGTGTTCATTTTGCATACACTCAACAAGCGGTCGCACCATGGGTGTTAATTTTTCTGGTGCGAAGCCAAAATAAAACAGAGCCGACGCCAGGAATGCGGTTACCCTCCTGAAAACAGAACTCATTCGGAACTTTTGCGCAGAAAAAAGTTGTTAACACAAGGAAAAAACAGATATAAAAGAGTAGTGTACTTACGCCGTGTTTGTTTTGACCGCTAGTTTTGTAAATTCAATCGTATCTGCGAGGACGTTATAACGAGTGGTGAGTGACTCGATATGATTGGGAGCAGTCAAAATGCCAAGACACCGCTCGAATGCCATTCTATAAGACAGTAACCGTGAAGGGCATGGTCTATTCAAATAATTAACACCAACTTGCTAATCTCTTCTGCCGAGACTGAATCTCCCATGCACAATTGACTCCTATCCACGCCTCGGTTCACACAATAATCGACAAACTCTTTGCAGTCCTTAATGAGAAATGAAATATATGAAGGAGGAGGACTAAGTCATGCCAAATTTTCTGTTTCAGAACAACAGAGTCTGCACGACTTCTTTCGAAGCACAGCCTCAAGCGCTCTAAAAAGTCTCCCAAAAGTAGAGGTGACAAAATTTGAAGTTCCGAGATCGAATTTGAAGTAAAACATCCGGAGATAAAAAGTATCAGAATTAAAATTCCCCCCTTCTGAGATCTGACTTTTACATTGAAGGCTAAGACCTTGTGCGGTGACATCAAAACAATTATATGAACACGAATGTTTTGCCTGATATTTTCCATTCCAATAGGGACAATGAACGTAAAGCCCATGAAACCTCATGATATGGTCACAATTTAATGGGCGATGATGCATCCGAGTTTTAGAACTGGTTCAGATGGGAGATAAACACAAGAAAAAACAAGGAAATATGTCACCGGGGATAAAATCGACCTGCCATCAGATTCAATATTCTATTCCAAAACAACCAGTCAAAGAACTAAACGTTGTAGACTAACCATAGTGAGATGATTGACTGCTGAGGCGAGCTCGTCATAATTCTTAGTTGGAGATCGTAGAAATGCATCGCAAATTTGTAGAAGAGTGACAGGAGCGTCACTTTGTACGCCTCTGAGAGAAAAGCTTCTAATCATTCAAGAAATAACTTTCACTAGAGGGGAGTAATTAAAATTTGTAATCATAAAACATGAGATTCTATCATTAAACAAATGTTACTTGTAAGATTTTTAGATAAGAAGCAAAACAAATACTAAAAAGCAGAAAGTTCGTCCTTTACTATGTTTAGTTGGAATGAGAAACAAAATCGAAACCTCTTACTTATTAAGAGAATCTCTATATACAGCGGCCCACTCGTTCAACATGACAGCGGCGCCAAGATTATGATACAACAAGTTTGACCGTAAAAACGGAACAAATAACAANGAAAGCTCTTACTTATTAAGAGAATCTCTATATACAGCGGCCCACTCGTTCAACATGACAGCGGCGCCAAGATTATGATACAACAAGTTTGACCGTAAAAACGGAACAAATAACAATTGGATGGCTTCGGCTCTAAAACAGGAATGATGTCCACGTGTATAAATGTCAAAGGGCCGAATGTGGGTCATAAATATAACCTACACAGGTTGGCCAGCTACCTCAATACCGCTTTCATAGTGCAGATGAATGATAGTAGCAAGGAATTTGGCGGAGATTATCTTACGAGTTATGTACACATCGTCCTTTTCCCTGGAAATATCTGATATTGAACAGTAGAAGTCGAAACAACATTGTGATCATGAATCTACACCGTCCTATGATTTCTTCCAGCGATTAAACATACAAGAGCGATGAAGAACCAATTATCAGTTCCGGTATCAGGTGTCTCAAGCCTGTTCCGCTCATCATGAAAAATCGCCTGCCCACATTACTTTCTGGCTAGTCCTGAAGGTGTTTTCGTACCGCATGTCGCCTAGGGACTGGTTACGAGTTTTCGTAGTACCACTGCCATTAAGTTCAAACGACTGAGACAAGTCTTTTAGAAGGCTACTAATATGGACGCCGTCAGCAGTTACCCATGTTACTCGCCTCCAGGACAGGGTAGAGACCAAATTACTGTTTTCGCATCAGATCATAAACTTTCAAAACCATTGACAACAATGGACAAGTGTAACGACTCCTTAAACCTACCTCTTAATTTCTTTCACTTAAGCCCTTGATATGAAATTCATAGGTAGAACACTTACTTATCCGAAAGGCATCGCACTTCTTCGCTAGCCATCCTTTCGAAAGGATCATCACGGGAACTAGCCCGAGAATCAACACAATACGTGAAAACATCTGAAAATCAAATTGTTTTAAGAAGCTGCCTGTTGTACTCATGGATGAGCAATAATATTTGAAGTATATTCTACACTACATACATACATACCAACTGGGGTAGCACTAATATTGCCGATCTTACCTATAACAGCACTTCGATGATCCAAAAGCAAACATCCCGCCCATGGCCCCAGTTTTTCCAAAAGCACCCTTGATTCGATCAAGGTAGACCTAAATCGTATTTCCACCTCGGAAGGAAAAATTTAACGAAAAAGGAAACCTACCCATAATTCGCTATAAGAACTTTTGATGTGATATATACATTTTCTAATAACAACATGTCATTGGCTGGTGCAGAAAACAACAGAACCCGATAGAATAATTTCAAAATTGTTAAAACATCCTGAAAGACATACATAAGTGACGCCGAATGTTACCTTTAGTAAAAAAGAACACTTGAATATGACCCACTTCACCATTTAAAATCCCTGTATCTCGTTTAAACCCTGTGAAAAGAAGAGTGACAATTTTCTGTGACCTCGACTGGAATTGCTCGTCGACCATACTTACAATAATCATAATCTGTTCCCTACAAAACTGCCTTTACACTTCAGGTTTTGATTTTCAGGTAACTATACTGAAACTGGATGTTAATAGTCAAAGCATGTGATAATAGGAAACGATTAAAAACACCTGTTGTAAAAAGAGGAAATATCAATAAAACAGAAGGAGCTATGTGCCACTACCTTGAAAGAACAACCGACTCTTGTAGCCGCAGCCAGGTTTCTACAATGCTAATCAAATCTACGGCCAATGCATCCAATCCAGAGCGAAGCTACAACGTACTCTGTTCTACTTCGTAACTGAGAAAAGCTAGATAGAGAGAACACTGTGAGATACCTGTTCTTTCTTAGATTCTTGCTCGAGCAGTTGCCACACATTGGACATAACTTGCTGAACAAGACTGGAACGTTCATCGTCTACTGTCGGATTAGACAGCAGTGAAGATAAGGTCGTAACAGCACATGATACCACCTTAACAGCAACAAAATAAATTACAACACTGATGTGCTTGAATTTTTCAAAAACTCACGTCATCAACTGTATCATCCAAGCTCTTCACTACCAGATTAAAGCAATCATGAAAGCTCTCAGAAGAAGAGGCAACGGCAAAGAAATATTTAAATACAAGTAGTGCACTTTGTCTACAGTGCCAGTTCTGCAATTCATACTACCACATTATAATGAAACATAACACTACAAAAAAAGAAAATCGTCCTACTCGTTCTCCTTGCATTAATAGCAGGACCCGGAGCTGAGATAGGATCACTGTCTGTCGTTCTGAATCGGTCTTGCGCAAAAAGTGACCCAAGGCCTGAGCACATGTTTCACGAACTGGAGCTGTAGCAGTGCGACCTAGTAATAGATAAATATCTAAACGCATCCTCAACGAACCGCTAGAATTTAAACAGCGTTGATCCTTTCAGATGGGTTTGAAAACATCAACCTAGAGTGGTAAAGTAGAATTATAAAAAGATCGGGTTACCTGAGACAAAATCATTAAACTGATCGAGAATTAAAACGTGAAGTAGTTGTAAAGCGCATGAATCGATAAGAGGAAGAGGTATCCTAAATAAGTGTGTCTGAACATTGGAGGCAGCAGCTGCAACTACTTCCAGCAGACAACTTAGTCAAGCATTTGGACAGCACAGGGAACACAGGAAATACAGTTGCACATGATGCAATCTTTCTCTCTTCTCACTGCTGCTCGTTAATTAGTTATCTTTGGAACCATTCAAATTACAAGTTTGGTAAGGACTTAAATGAGGGGCATACATACTGTATTGCCGTTACAAATGGAACACTCACCTGGAGTAAGAAGTAGATAATATTTTAGCTATTGCTATTGCTGCACCGTGCCTATATTGCCATCGTTGATCGGCCAATAAAGGTAAAAGCCTATAAATTGACAACATCAATAAGGGCCCGTTATATCATGGAAGTTTTTCTTTGCTTTTATACGAGACTGCGACATTACCTGCAGAAAAACTTGAGAAATGCAATTTGTGAAGAAAGTTCAATTCTATCAGTGTCTTCCAGAACTTCGACTTTCACCTCAGCATCCAACTTAGAGCAATCGGTGGTAAGAATCTAAAAGAAAGATCTCTCAGAGCACTAATACGTCGTGAAAGTCGATACTTAGGAGCGAAACATACTTCCTCGCCTTCATGCCGTGGCGAGTTGCTACTGCTTCGAGGTAACATATCGAGATCATTGACAAAACCTGCCTGAAAAGGAGAATTGGAAAAAAAAGCAAGGCCTGCCAGGGAGAATGGCAAGAATTCTAAAGAATTCGAACTCTGCCAGTGCTATACCTTCTCATTGCAAGAAAGTATTTACTCACTATCAAGTAAAACAACTCTTAAATAACGTTGGCTAGAAATTCCTTGCTAGGATCGAAAGAGTGCGGCAGTGGACGTTACATTGTGGCTTTAGATAAAATTCGATCAAGTTAAAAGGCAACTGTGAATGAGACTTACTGAGGTCACTCCAATGACAGCGCTCATGTCAAGATGCTGATCAAGAACTTGCCGCTGCTGTTGGGCGCTCACTCGGACTCCGGATGAGCTTGCACTGATGGCCGCCCCATCATCACTGAAAACTCCCGTATTAGCTGACCATCGAATCTTGATTATAGCTGTCTTCAAATGCGGAAAAACAAGTGAACTTATATAGAATTTCAAAGACTGATCTAACTCAGCCTCGAAAACGTTTATTAAAAATGTGGTTACACTCTTAGAATCAATCAACTGCTTATCACCAGAATGAACAACGACGTTTCCATAAACCTTAAAGTCAAGAGCATAAGTCAAAGCAGATGTCAAAGAAAGACTACCAGCACTTTGCAAAGCGATGAGCAGACGTAAAGACTTTATGTGTTTCAAATTTATAAGCTGACTACCCTGCAAGCAGACTTTATGAACGCGTCTTCGGTAATATGTAGCAGTAACGAAACAAAGCAGTTACTGTTCCCTTCGTTTCTAGGAAATGGCGGTCTTAGTTACTGGCAGATCGAGTTCAGGGCTACTTGAAGTGTATGGGAATAAACCTTAAACTTCGAGCAATGTCGCGGTGCTAGAGAGATTGGACTGGAGTAGATTTGAGTAGGATTCATCATCCAGACGTCGTATGAAGACATTAAGGAAGACACCTAAGGTCGTTAGATGGATAGAACCTAACTAAACACCTAAAGGCAACGAAACACCAGTAAGGTTAGGGATCAATCCTTCCTTTTATAGATGAGGTCAATATAAGCCATAAAAACCGAGGATTACCTCAGCAATGGCTTGTAAGTCTTCAATACATGAGCTGCATCAATTTCACGTAGTGAAGCGGCAACAGGAACATCCTCAATTTTTCCAGTGAATGCTTCCATGTTCTTCAGAAGACAATGAAGCGCATCGGCAGCCGCTACACGTGCATCCCATGACGTCGAGCAAATGTATTTCAGGAGGACCTGAAAGAGGCTCCTTGAAAGGACTATTCATCGAAAATTTACTTCCTAGAATTCACCTCAGCCACTTTATCATCCGAAAGGCAATATTTCCCAAATGCTATAGCAGCCTCATGTCGTAATGTACTGTTTTTTGACTCGAGAACACTGCCCAGGTGATTCAATCGCGAATCACCCATTCTCGATTTACTACAAAGAAACTCGTGAGTAGTAGGAAGGCTTGATTATGCATATACAAAAACACAATAAATACTTTCACACAATACGAACGGAAAACAATAAACACCAAAAAAACATTTCAGAACTTTGACCACGTTCACTGCTTGACCTATTCTTCGAAGACTGACAGTATATTGGGGTGAAAGCACATCGTCAACCTTTATCATTATTGAAAACCACTTAAAACTTAAAAAAGGTCAACAAACAGTTGTTGAAGCGATCCTTTATATGGTGATGAGACGTCTAGTTACGATTCCTCTGCATCTCTGCCCTGCTAGAGTCAGACAGCCGGGTGGGCAGGAGCAGTCGCCTGTACTGAGCAGGGGAGGGAGGGATAATTCAATGTTGTCTGCCCTTATCCTCTTATCCCCAGTGCGTTTTTTGTGTTCAGAGAGACAGAAAAGGTGGAGGAGAGCTCAGGGAAAGGGTAGGACCTGAGAGGGTGTTCCGGCACGGAGCTGAACCCCCGATTACCCCTGCGTGACAGGCATTCTCTTGTGTTTTGCCATGGTACATCCTCGATATTAAGGATAAGTCTTCATAATGATTCAACAACTTCATTCATTTCCCAAAAAGAGATATGCAATCTCTCCGAGCTGGAAAGGCGCTTCCAAACCGCCTGTCAATCACCACAGGGGTGTGTCGCAACTGGCGCGTTTGTATCTGCCCAAAAGATTGCCCATCCTTCTAAAATTTATTAGGTATTCAACAGTTCTGTCGACAGAATTTATCAATTCTATCAGGGTATTTCGATTATGAAATTCCTTTTAATCTTCAAGTTAGCAGGCGTAAATGCCCTCGTTGGCCAAGAACAGAATGCAGGGTGAGCTCTTCAGTCCAAAATAGGTGTTGACAAAAGCAGGCGTTATTTCGTGCCTGAGGTGATGGGAAAGGTCCAGGCTGCCTAAAATGAAGGTAATCCGGTCGAAGTGTCGTTGATAAGGACCTTTCTACAACCCTACTAATGTAAAATACATACCAAGACTTACGGTTACTGTAATTCATACAGCACCTGCCACTCTTCTATCGGCTTCTAGCTGGTATAGGCACCGTCTCGCAGCAGTTTCGAGTAAAAGGGTCTCACTCAGGTCTTTGTCTCTACAGGATCCTCGGGTGCGCTTCGTTGCGCGCGTCCGTCGAAACTAGGTCACGCCGCAGCCGTCGCACGCGGCGAGTCAGCCCGCGATACTTGACAGTCGTCGCAGTGGTCAGTGGGGCATACGTTTTACGCTTGGTCCACGGCAGTCAGTTCAAAGAGAAGATAACACAGACAAATGCAAATCATTCGCTCCACTGCCACTTGGTGGTACTGTAATTTCATCTCGAGACCTCAATGTGGTGCGCCGCGCGCGAAGTGGGCGGGGTTACCTATTTTCGACGGACGCGCGCAACGGACATTCCTCCAGGAGCCCCTCGTCACAAAGTAGTATGGCGGCTCGACTACAGGATGATTTTCCTATTTAAATTTGAGCATATATTTCTGCCTCTGGGAATCACTGTTACGTGCAAGCGCGCTTGTCACTCACTCTAATGCCAGGCTCAAACTGTACTTACTTTGTATTTGAAGCAATCTAATTAGTTGTTCGTGAGAAAATATCTATAGTAGGGGCCCACACAGCTGTCGCCTACGCATCATCCTACCATGCAGCTTTTTCAGATTTTTTTCCTGCATCTCCAGGAATTCTTGTGTCAGGGTATAAGGAATACCCTAATTCGTGAAAGTACAGTAAAAAATGTTGTGAAAAAATCAAAGATAGACAATCAAAAAAAATCTGAGAAGAAAAATCAAAAGCTGCAGAAAATCTGTGCAACTACATCTAGCCAACGCTTCAACGTTCAGGAATTTTCGGCTGTTGTTGAACCTCCTGGCTTTTTGTACTTCAAGCTTGTTAGTGTTAGTCGGGCTTGGTATTGACTTATTTCGGTGGGTCCGTGTAGCTCACTGCATAGACCGAATAGGCACTCAGTCGCCACTACAATTCCTATTGGAGGTCGAATGCTTGGCTCACACTGGAAAGAGATTGTTTGATGCCAAAAGCTTTGCCCTTTCAGATCAGCTTAACTTTTCCAGTCATTCTTATTATGTAACAACAGGATGAGCTTATCATGTTGTTGCTAGGTGATACAGGAAATGTACTGAAAATCACCTAAAAAGGGTCGTCTCATTGGGATCATTAGATTAATTAGTTTCATCTGAGGCTGGCTCACTAGGTGGCTGACTCTTCGACGAATCTACCTCTATAAGGCCTTCCATGATTCCCAGAATCAGCCCTGTCAGGGTGATGAACATTTTCTCCCCTGCAGTGTTCTGATGGTAAGCATGCCATATCTCAACCCACTTACCAATAATAACAATTCGTTATCACTTCCCACCATCGCTTAACGTCTCCTGCTCTGGACGGATTCGCTCTTCTCCGAGACATTCAAAGCGCAAATTTTTGTAACGAAAACGAATAGGATTAAACTACTGGTAACAAATTGGGCATTTCGAATTCGGATTAAAGGCACAGTTCTCGATAGATTTGAGGTAACCGTTTTTATTCGAAAATCGGAAGTACAGATTGGTAATAGTTCATCGGTAGTGAAGAAAGTGAGAGAATTCGCCGATTTCGAGAAAAATATGGCTCCTCAAAAGTAGGGAAAGCAGAGGTTGGACGACATTGCCATGACGGAAATAACATGGAAGGGGTATCCGGATGAGATTTCAGTTATTGCAATTGCACAAGGAGCCGACTACAGAACTGTACAGAACTGTCTTTCACAGTCGCTATGGCCCATGACAAACTGTTGATATTCCTACATGGGTTCCCTTGTGATCTGTACAGCCTCTACAATGCCGGTGAAACTCGCTCGAGGATACACACGGGTCAATCTTCAGGCCTTTATAACTCTCTGACTAGGCCGTTTTCTGACCTAATAGTGCCAGCTACGGTGTACGCGGGGACCTCAAATTTATCCTGTGGGGGAATCTCAGAAACCATTTTTATCGTGAACTGTGCCTTTTATTATTGTACTCTTTAATAACTACGTTGGAAAACGTCAAATAACACGGTATTACTTCACTGTCTGATTCTTTTTATGTGTCTAATTAAATACATAGAACAGCTATAATTAAGGAATTTCTGTTTGACATTGTTTCTGGCTTTAGTCAACCCCATTTTAGGGTTGTGTTCAGTATTCGACATCTATACGGAATATTACGGCGAGTGTGTTTGTAGCCTACATATATAAATAAAAATGACTCGCAGAAGTCATCCAATGTGTACAAATCATACTTTTAACCTACCAGGCCACTTTGATACCTATTAACCGACCCAGTGGCGAAGGCAGGCTTGGCTGTCATAGGTAAGCATCGATCGGCGGATTCAAACCTTAAACCATGTGTGTATGGTAGTGTCCCACTTGCCGCTACACCACATACGCCCTAGTAATAGAGTCGAATCCATCGAATTGTTTTGATACTCAGCGAAGACCATTATCACCAAATTTCAACGCAATCAAATATGAATACACATGTTCCAAAGTAAGTCATAAGGCAAAGCAATTCGAAGGTATTGGTTTTCTACAGCCAGTACCAATTATTATCAGTAATTATCACATCAAATTCCAAACATCGAGCAGGCGGAACGAATGCTGGCCGAGTTTGACAATGCTTGTGGAGAGATCGGATTGAGGCTGAACTTAACGAAGACGATGTTCATGAAAAACGGTTTGGTACCTGATGCTCCTTTCACGCTAAACGGAAAGAATATCTCCGAATGCTCTAGCTATTTGTATCTAGGTCGGGAAGTCAACATGATGAACGACCTAGCTCCGGAGCAGTACAGAAGGAAACGCGGCGCGTGGGGAGCATTAAAGAATATCGAGGGAGTAGTGAAGAAGACAAAGAACATCCGGCTCCGCGCTCACCTTTTCGACACTGTTGTCCTGCCTGCTTTGACGTACGCCTCGGAGACCTGGACTCTACGAAAGCAGGATGAGCATGCTGTCAGCGTTGCTCAACGCGCTTTGGAAAAGACGATGCTCGGAATTTCCCTGTACACGCAAGTGCAGAAGGGAATCCGGAGTTCCGAGCTCCGTCACCGAACGAAGATCAGGGATGCCGTTGATTACGCCAAGAAATCAAAGATCAGGTAGTCCAGACACTTTATGCGATATAGTGATGACCGTTGGACCAGGGTGGTTACTGACTGGATCCCTCGGGACATCAAACGAACTCCAGGAAGGCCGCCAACGAGATGGTCAAACTTCCTCACGAAAGCTCCAAACGAAAGGAATGTTGGACTTCAGGTCCCTGAAGCGAGGATGACTCACTGGACCACACTGGCTCGTAACAGGGACGAATGGAGACGTTACTGGCGCCCGCTCGAGGAAATCGACGATCAACGGGACGACAGGTGATACAGGTGAATTATCACATTCTATTACCTACCCTCTATGTTCTCATGTTGTCCTTTTGAAATTTATGGTATTTGTAAATAAAAATCTGCGAAGGAAATAAAAATTGTAATTCCCCTGTTCAAATTACTCTGAGAGATGCGTCCCCGTAACTAGAGGTAGGGATTGCATCAATTCACGTTGGGGTTGATAAAATGGCACCGTTGTCATTTTATTTAATTTTCAAACGATTATGGCTCTTTTTCATCCGACCTTCCAGGCTGCCCTTTATCGTACGACAAACGGTAGGAGGGAATAAGCTGACTTTCATCATTTGATTCATAATGTCAAGCAATTTAATGTCATCTTTCAAAGCTTATTGATTGCCCTTTGCAAAACCGTTGGTTAATCCGTTTCTTCTCTGATTCATTTCTAATCGAGCAATCGGCTTATTGTACACTCCACGGAACTAGTCTACAACCTCCTTCTCATCGGCGGTTTTTACATTCATTCCATTAAAATCTTCTTGTCTCCTTTATTACCGACCAGTGTAAATGGCAACAACTCATTTTCTGTAGATTTTTAACCGCCAAGGTTTTTCTTTAGTAAGAAGTTTTGATAAGTGAACCCATTTCAGGCAGATAGACATTTGCACTTGCCATCGCCATAGAGGAATGTCACGTTTCCAGGGAAAAGTTGTTATAGTAACAGGTACATCCTCCCCGGTTGAAGGACAATTTGACCATTCAACTGCCATAATAATTGTAGCTATTATACGCCATGAGGAACGGAAGCGATGAGAATATTCATCTGTAATACACTCTTGGGAATACGTAATAAAGGACTTGATAGAATGGTGTAGGGCAGATTTCCTATCAACTTCGTTTGTGACATAAGCAAACTAACAGCTTACCTTTATTTCCTAATATGACTTTTCAAATGAAAACATTTTTGGGAAATGACAAACAACTTCTGCTTGAAACGTCCTATCATGGATGTACAAATTCATCCATACAGTTCGCTCGCCTGCTTCTGTTGATGGGCGTCACATATGAGTGGGCGGGATCCGTGAAATGACCTGATCATTTCGGGCCTCTATTCCCAGATGTAATCAACTTTTGGTACAGGTCAAAACTCTGTAGGTAGGTTAGGCATTGAGAGAACAGAAAGAAGACAATCAACACACATCTTTTTTTTCGCCCCTTTTTTTCTCCCACAAAACTGTCGCGGGTGAAAAACGAAGAGCTTAGCTCTGGTAATCTGTTTCCCGTCAAGGTTTTCGACCTTTACCTTATCATTTTCAGGTTCTTCGTCTGGAATTGGCGCTGCTGCAGCTCTGCTCTTTGCCAAAGAAGGTGCTTTTGTCACGATCACAGGAAGGAACGAGGATAGACTTGAGGTGGGCTGTAGAAGCGAATTATCTATTTATGGTGATGATATCAATCTTTTGCATTTATGTCCTCCTGAAGAAGCTCTATAAGAAGGTTAGCAACATCTCCGATGCTAACATTAAGTGTCGGATATCCTCAAATTGGAGGTTCTGCAGACGAGTCTCCAACCTACAGTCAAGGATTCGAGGGAAGTGAAGAAGCATTCCATTAGTTTGCACTTCTTCACAGCCCTGCAACCTTCTGTCGGGAACAAACACGCATTTAAATGTGGTGATCATTTCGAAAAAAGGATGGAAGCAGGGCTCATTCTTGATGGTAGCGGAAAATTGTGCGATCTGTTTGAAAAATCACCACTCTTCACCAAGAGAGCAATGCCCTTACCTTGGAGGATTATTTGAAACTTTGCTTCAGCCAGCTGCCTTTAAACGTTATGTTTCGACCAGTATTCTGTTCCGGCACTTTGAAGACCTTCGGAATTTATGAGAACAGATTGGGTTTTTTGTTTCCAAACACGCCCACCTTGTTACGAATTCTTCTGGCATTGGAACTCTCCTTTTTTTGCTCATAGGCTGCTTTCATATTCCGCCGGCCGGCCGGCCGGCCGGCGGACTATGAAAGCAGCCATATCTCTCACCATTTCTGACCTCGAAGCTCACATCTGGCTACCCCTTTTTTGCTCTATTCTCTTATTCCGAGACTTTCAATGGCTTAGAACAGGATTATGTTAATTGGGTGATAAGCATAACCAGCTGGAGCCGGTGAAGGGCTCAGCACAACTCAGGCATTTCCGATCCTTACCACTCTTCTTTATCTGGAGTTTGAGAGTCTTTTAGTGATTGAGATACGAAAATTAGAACAAAGCACGGTGCAATTAAAGGATGCTAACAATTGCGTGTTCTCGATTCATCTTCGGCTCATCTTTGCCCACTTTTCTACTTTCTTGTTTTTCTGGGACTAAATTAGTAGAACTCTTTACCTGCTGCCCCTTTTCTTCCCTTTCCTACAGGGGTTCCGGGCTCCGCTTAGATCATGTATGCCCTAGTAGTATTGACCCAGGCTCACTCATCGTGAAACTATTGGGTTGGTGCATAATTATTAGAGTTTTTCATCAAATTTTCATATTCAAATAATTGCTCCCAGAACGAATCTACCATCTACGCCAAGCACTGTTCCCTATTTGCTAGGGATCGGATTCCACATGCGCCCACATGCGATAAAGTTTTGAATCTTGGAGGCGATCCACGCCTGGACATCGGCCATCAAGTCATCCACTTCGTCGTAATTTCTGTCGCCAGCAAATATTTCAACGAACGATTGACTTCATAATCCGTAGGAGTTTCTGTCGGTGAATATGGCAGATTCGGGAGCAAATCCCATATTCTACTTGGCTTTGGCTGACTGTTACGCTGAAAAGTTCGTTGAGATGGCAAAAAGACTCTGCCGCATCAGAATCGTCCCCAAAGTAGTAGCGCATAATGTGGCGAATATGAAGATGGCTTTCTAGGTGAAGTTCTGTTGAGGAAAACAAGAAAGATAATTTCTGTGAAGCATTCGAAATCAAAGTTCGCATTGTAACTAGAGAAGAAGGCCTGAAAAAAGCCACAATAATTGTGCATCAACCTAGTGATTCCGCCTCTCCAGGAGATTCCTCAGAGAATGCTGTAGTTCATGGCAAGCATTGTGCTTCATTTACAAAAACGATCTTCTCGCTATCGTTATATAATAAAGGCTAAGGTCTTGTGGCGTTAATCAATCCCGTTTGTGGGATGCGCAGCGCATCCGACTTCAGCTCAGAATCGTAGTGGCGTTTTGAATGCATACGTAGCCTACGAAATGACTTGCGGTGGCCAGCCGATGTACAAATCAGCGCCTTTTCCTTCTATGAGTCTGGTGCAATTTATCGACTTCGGAAGGCTCTGGAAGGCTTGGTTGACGGATATCCATCCAAGATTCGACGCTGGACTATATTTGTGTGATAGTTCACCACTTGTCATTACATCATATCCATCCTCCCATTTTGGTCACATAAGAATGAATACTCATTTCCAAAAACGAGATTTATTTATTTATTTATTTGATACACCAAGGGGTGTGCCATACAACAGAAAAACAGGAACTTAAAGGCAAAAGTCCTCTGAACACAAGAAGAAAAAAAAAAGGAAAAAACATCAACCTGAGAAAAGGTGAGGATAAAGCCAGAGCTGAAACATGATACACGCCTCACTAGAGGAAAG